GGTTTCCCCTTCTACTTCTTGGGGTTAGAAATATTCTCACCAGAGCCAAGGCAGCATCGTCGCTAAGCGACAATCCCTCTTCATGGGTTAGACATATTCTCACCGAAGCCAAGGCAGCATTGCCGCTAAGCGGCGATTCCTCTGCAATTTTCGATGGCCAAGAAAGTGTTTCTCTACGCCTCCTCTGAACCAGGTTGTTGACTTCTTCAAGAAAAGTGTTTCTCAACCTCTTTGAATTTTTCAGATTCAAGCTTCACGTTCGTTTAAATCCGACGCTTAGCTTGCGGTGGGGTGTTAAGGATATTTAGTAATAAATTATAATTTACCATATATATTATATTTGATATTTTATTATTTGCCTTATTATCATAGGTATCTTTCCATTTATTGTTATTTCCATTTATTACTATTTCCATATCCTTGTAATTTATTTGATTATAAATAAGATAACTTTCACACCATTTAGGTGTGGTGGATTAATCAAACATTCACAAGGCGTGATGATCCTTGAGCTTCCACTCCTTTATGGTCATGGTATCTCGCTTCACCCCCAAAAGAGATGAACCCTAACTTCTTTTTATACTCGGTTTACTTCTATTTCATGTAAAAAAAAAAAAAAAAAAAAACAAATTTTTTTGTATTAGGATAAATTACATGAATAGGAAGAGAAACCTGAAAATAAGTAGAAGGTTGAGAATTTCACTCAACCACACAATCCAATTTGATAGATGAAGGGCTCATATGGAATTCTACCCATGCTTGTAACTTATAAATGTGAAAGATGATGCTCAGATTTTTAAGGGGTACTTCTGAGATCAATTTCATTCCTCTCTTATTTTTACATAATAATTTGTGGATATTTAAAAAGTAGGGGAACTTCTAAGATCAATTTCATTCCTCATGTGTGGATATTTATAGTCTCCAAAAGAAGTTAGTAGCCTGGATTTAATCTCAATCCCTTTAATCTCCCCAAAATACGAGTTCAAATGTTTACATACATTATAAATTAAAAATAAATAAAGTTTTCTAACAACGAGCTAATGATTCTTGCAATTTCATCCTCTAATTCAACAGTGTAAATACTCACTGAAGCTCCAAATGATTCTTCCTCAATCAAATAAGCTTGTAACACATGAATCTTCCTCAATCGAATAAGCTTGTAACACATGAAATAAGAGTTGAACCAAGCCTATCCAATTTTATAGATGAAGAATGGTCCAGTTGAATCTTTTTGGCTGTTCCAGTTGGAAAATTTGGAACACCGTGATCCTTATCATCTTACCACTCTTCAATAGTTTCGTCCTCAAATTAGAAAAATCATCACCTACATCAAAAGAACTTAAGTCAGCAACATTGAAAGTAGAATGTGCTAAAAATTCTCTAGAAGATCATTTTATATGCATTGTTATTAATTATTTCAAGGACTTGATAAGGGTCATCCCCTCTTGGATGTAACTTTGTTTTCCTTTGAGATGGGAATGTATCGAAACCTAGTTATCGGGTTGAAAAATGATTTCCTTTCGTCCTTTGTTAATTCTTAAAGAAATTTTGAAATTTTGTTTCTAAATTTTCTCCTTCACCTCTGTATGCAATGTTTTGATCTGACATTACTTGTAATTGCTTTACTCACAAAAATATTTAATTCTTAAAGTAACTTTTTGTTTCTCAATTTTCTCCTTTCACCAGTTTATGAAATGTTTTGATCAGATTTGCCTTAGTTGTAGTTGCTTTACTCACAAAAATATTAGAATGAATAGGAAGATAATAAGAGGCGTAAGTTGATTAAATCCATAAAAATCTTAAAAAAAGAGAACAATGAGTGGTACTATGAATTGCTCTAATGAATTGCTCTAACGGAGAACGGTACTATGAATTGCTCTATTATATGACATCTCTTCAAATGGCAAACATTCGTCCTAAACATTAGTCCCAAGACTTAATATATTCTAAAAAATAATAGGCAATAATCCAATTTATCCTACATCATACTTTTCAAAAGTAAATTAAAAATTTAATATCCGTATCTTTTTTGTGTGTAGCAAACCACATTTAAAGGATTTAGGAATAAAGAGCGGGGTATTCGGGGTATCGATCCCCGTACCAATCGCATGCAACGAGAGCACTCTACCATCTTAGCTACATCTCCATAATTCTTACATAGCAAAACCCAAAACTGCTGGTCATCAATAATAGTGAAAATGAAAAAATATTTCTTCTCATTATGTCAAAAATAAGGAAAAATTGAATAGAAATAAAATATAAATAACGAATAGTTTCGTTAAGAGATGCACTCTACAATCTTAGCTACATCCCCACAATTCTTACATAACAAAACCTAAAACTACCCGTCATCAATAATAGTGAAAATTAAATAATATTTCTGCTCATTATGTCAAAAACAAGGAAAAAAATTAGAAATAAAAAATAGAACATATGGTAATAGGATCTCCAAATAATAGTGAAAATGAAATAATATTTCTGCTCATTATGTCAAAAATAAAGAAAAAAATTAGAAATAAAAAATTAGCGATCCTTGTACTTTTCACATGCGAAGCGAGCGCTCTACCATTTGAGCTACATCCCCAAATTCTTATGTCACAAAATCCTAAACCTACCATCACCAATAATAGTGAAAATAAAAAAACATCTCTATTCAATATGTCATAAATAAGAAAAGATTGAATAGAAATAAAACCATCTGAGCTACATCCCCATTCCTAAACCTACCATCACCAATAATAACCAATAATAGTGAAAATAAAAAAAATATCTCGGCTCATTATGTCATATATAAGAAAAGATTGAATAGAAATAAAATATTAATAACAAATTAATAAAATATTAATAACAAATTAGTTTCTTTTAGATATGCTAAAAGGAAATAATATACTTAATTATTGATAGTGTTCCTTTGGAGATGCAGGCCGTATCTCTCGCATGCAAAGTGATCGCTCTACCATTTAGCTACATCCCCATGATTCTTACATCACAAAACTTTAAATTCATCAATCATAGTGAAAATGAAATAATATCTCTGCTCATTATGTCATAAATAAGGAAATATTGAATAAAAATAAAATATACATTCCCCACGATTCTTACATCACAAAACTTTAAATTCATCAATCATAGTGAAAATGAAATAATATCTCCGTTCATTATGTCATAAATAAGGAAATATTGAATAAAAATAAAATATTAATAACAAATAGTTTCTTTTGAAGAAATAATTTCTCCGCTCATTATGTCATAAATAAGGAAATATTAAATAAAAATAAAATATTAATAACAAATAGTTTCTTTTGGAGAAATAATATCTCCCCTCATTATGTCATAAATAAGGAAATATTGAATAAAAATAAAATATACATCCCCACGATTCTTACATCACAAAACTTTAAATTCATCAATCATAGTGAAAATGAAATAATATCTCCGCTCATTATGTCATAAATAAGGAAATATTAAATAAAAATAAAATATTAATAACAAATAGTTTCTTTTGGAGATGGAGGGATCAATTCCCGTACAAAAAATAATAGTTTCTTTTGGAGATGGGGGGATCAATTCCCGTACCTTTCGTATGCTAAGCGAGCACTCTACCATCTGAGCTACATTTCCACAATTCTTATATCACAAAACCTAAATTTTCCATCATCAATAATAGTGAAAATGAAGAAATATCCCTGCTCATCATGTCCTAAATAAGAAATAATATATTTAGTAATCAATTCATTTGGAGAAGCAAGGTATCGATCCCGTATGTAACACCCAAAAATGAAGGAAATTAGCTCCCACAAGAATACGCCACCCATGAAAGACTCAAAGGATCAAAAGTGGAGAAATTAAGAGGATTAAGCAAGGACAAGGATCTTAAGAAGTCACTCCAATATCCTAGCAAGTAATCTTAAGGAGATAAGGGTAAGTGACCTTACTATCGGCGTGATTATATTTGATGTTGACACGTGCCTTGTGGTTCTGCACGTGTCATATATATTGATAAATCTGAATTGTCTATGGATCGATATGCTTCCTATATGTTATGTATATGTTATAATATGTGAATTGTATGATAATAATTACGGTACGATGTGTTCAAAGATATGTTTGAGACATGATACAAGAATGATGCACAAAACGAAATGTAATGATAGGAGTAAAATACGTTCATGAAACGTTAAGGATAGGTTGCATACTGTAGGGATATGGATAAGAGAGATTGATGGAAGAATACGGTTAGGTTACAGGTAGAAAGGGATAGGTTTGTGATAGATTGATAGAACGATAGCGTTAGGTTAAGTTCTTGTGATGAGATGACTAAGGTACGTTCACGTAATGATATGTATGTGATAGGTATAAGAACTTTAAGGCTATGATAAGTTAGAGAACAATATGACTACGAAGTGTTTACGTTATGACTTGTTTATGATATGATACATTGTGATGCAATATGTCATGGTATGATGTGTATGTGATGATATGATATGTTAAAAGCATAGAACGTTATGTTAGGTCTCTTAAATTATGTGTATACAACATGATTTGAATGACATGAAATTACAATAAATGACATGAAATATAACCCCGTTAGAATTATGTATGATTTGAGAACTGAAGAATGAGAAACGATATGACATGAATGATGAACAATATTTGAAACGATATGATATGTACACAATGTTAGCGGGGTTATATTAAAGGATAATGAAAATGGAAAAGTTTTGGGACCTCATGCATTATGTGTGCACATGCATTTGGGCGAATACCCCTAACCCATCACTAGGGTACAAACGCGTATATCCAATGGCAGGACAATGATCCTTATGCTTTGCATAGCGCTGCCATGACGGTTACTAGTTCTAGCGGGTATCCGGCCTAAAGGGCTCCCAGAGTATGTCCACTAAATAAGGAAAGTGGCCTAGCGGTGTGCGAACTAGCTGGTGAGCCCATACTCGCATGTATGGGCTGTGTGTAGAGTATATGGTACACGTCCAAAATTATCCGTTAGGACAGCACCGTAGAGAAAACGGAATGAAAGATAGGACCTATCATCTCATTGCATGTGATTGTTGCATTTAACCCCAGTAGTGGGGTCACTTACTGAGTATTTCTTTAAATACTCAAGCAATGTGCTACTACATTTTTCAGGTTAAGACAATGCATTCCTGTACGACTGACGACGACATCACAACTCGAGACCATGGCACATGCATAGAATAGTGGTATTTATTTTCTTAGACTAAGGCTAGAATATGAAGTTTTTAACTTAAACGCTTATTTATTTTATTTAGTCTTTTGTTATGTCGTTTTAAAGAGGTTTTCGAAACACTTAATTCCATGGATGTGTTTTAAGATAAAGGTTATGTTTTATGGAATTTAAATGAAGTCTTCCGCATTCAATGATTATGGTACGTATACAGTAGCGACCTTAAATTAAGTAGAAAATTTTGGATAATTACAGTTTTGATCTGCCTTACTTGTAGTTGCTTTACTCACAAAAATATTAGAATGAATAGGAAGCAAATCAAGAGGTGTAAGTGGATTAAATCTATAAACATCTTCAAGAAGGGAACAATGAGTGGTACTATGATTTGCTCTAAAGAAGAACGGTACTATGAAGAATTGCTCTAAAGGAGAACGGTACTATGAAGAATTGCTCTATTATATGTCATCTCTACAAATGGCAAACATTAGTCCCAAGACTTAATATATTCTTACAAATAATAGGCAATAATCCAATTTATCCCACACCATACTTTTCAAAAGTGACTTAAAAATTTAATTATACCTATCTTTTTTTGCCAAATCACATTTAAAGGCGTATACAATCCATATAAAATATATATCCCATTAAGACACCACCATATTATAGAGCATTTAGGAATACAGAGCGGGGTGTTCGGGGTATCAATCCCCATACCATTCGCATGCAAATAGAGCACTCTACCATCTTATCTACATTCCCACAATTCATGCATAACAAAACCCAAAACTGCGCTTCATCAATAATAGTGAAAATGAAAAAAATATTTATGGGAAATATTGAATAGAAATAAAATATTAATAACGAATAGTTTCTTTAGGAGATGCACTCTACCATCTTAGCTAAATTCCAATTCTTGCCTAACAAAACCCAAAACTGTGCGTCTTCAATAATAGTGAAAATGATTCAATAATAGTGAAAATGAAAAAATATTTCTCCACATTAGGGCAAAAATAAGGAAAAATTGAATAGAAATATTAATAACGAATAGTTTCTTTTGGAGATGCACTCTACCATCTTAGCTACGTTCCCACAATTCTTACATAACAAAACCTAAATCTGTATGTCATTAATAATAGTGGAAATGAAAAAGTACCTTTAATTCGATTGAACTCCTCTGCCTACTTACTTTACTCCTCTCGTCTTCTCGTGGAGCTGCTTCGCACCTTTCCTATTCATTCTGCTGAACCTCTGCTCTTTCGGCTCCCCCTTCTTGAACTGTCTGTTTCATGTCTTCGCTCCTCTATTTATTTATTGGTCGAGCCGCTTCGCTCATTCGCCTAACTATTCGTGTCTCATCGCTTCGCTCCTCTCCTTTGTCTCGCGTCTTCGACTATTTATGCTCATTATGTCAAAAATAAGGAAAAATTGAATAGAAATAAAATATTAATGAGTTTCTTCTAGAAATGCATTCTACCATCTTAGCTACATCCCCACAGTTCTTACATAACAAAACCCAAAATCCTTGTACCTCTCGCATGTAAAGAGTGCACTCGACCATCTTACCTACATCCCCACAATTCTTACATCACAAAACCCTAATCGTCTCGTCATCAATAATAGTGAAATGAAAAACTCCCTTTGATCATTATGTTATAAATAAGAAAAATTGAAAAGTAATAATATATTTTAATAATTGATAGTTTTCCTTTAGAGATGGAGGGTAGCGATCTCCGTACCTCTCACATGCAAAGCAAGTGTTCTACCATTTTGATGGTGTTAATATAACACATGGGGAAGCAATTTGGATCTTAGGCACTCTTAGTACATCAATTATAATAAATTAGCTAGCATGTTCAAAAGCATTAAAACTCAATGAGTTTGAATACTAACCTTTTGTAGTTTAAATTTCTTTTTCCTCACGAACCGGTTTCGAACCACCAGTATTGTCTTCCCTACTATTCTCCGACCTTAGAACGAGATTGTAGAATCGAGTGAGTGACTAAATTTGATAGGAATTTAGTATATGCAAAGAGAGAGTTTTGAGAGAATTTCTCTAAGTTTTTTCAAGAATACTTTACATGTACCTTGATCACTCTATTTATTGATGTTTGTATGTTCATCCAAATTTGAGATTACAAAATTTTGACACTCAAAATTTCACTCAAATTTATGGGATTATGTGGCAAATATGCAAGTTTGGTTAAATCAAATTTTGACACTTGAAATTCCACTAAATTTGTGGGATTATTGACAAACATGCAAGATTGTTAAACCATATATTGACACTCAATATTCCACAAACTCAAACATGGATTTTCCCATGATGTGAAGTCAAAATTTTGAGTTTCTCTATTTTAATTCAACAATTAATTTAAATAATTACTTTCAAATCAAAATAATATTAAATGATTAATTAAATAATTTAATTAATATTTAACATTAAATCAAATGCCAGTCCCAATCAATTCCGGCCCATATTGATTATGAATCCCTATTGATAATTAAAATATTTAAATCTTATTTACATATCTCCAATTCTCACACTTTGTTTAATTCGTAATTAAATAAAAATGGGGTTAAATATATCGTATATACTTAGCACATATTCCCTAATTTGAGTTCGAACACTGAAAACTCACTCGTCCCACTGTTCTAAGGTTTAGTCCGATATGAGCTAGCAGGGGGACCTAATGGACCTATAGATCATGGGCTTCAATGATCTGAGATTAATTGGCTAAACTCATTAACCTTTTAACCATCATTCATTAACTAATAGAACACTACACTACAGCCTAGTAGTTGCACTCCCCTCACTATAGATATATTTTTGTCCATTTGATATAACATGATTAGTAAGTCGATCCTTCACATGTTGTTCGTAACTAGAGTTGGGTCAATTTACCGTTTTTACCCCTAAAGTTACTTCTTGTTCCTTAAGTCCCACTGATCCTCTAATGAACAATTGGTTTGTGGTCCAACCACCAAACCGAATCCCTCTCGGGCCAATGACTTGGAGTTAGTACTTAAGGGAACAACCTCTCTACTATCCCTAAAAGCGGGTAGGAGTGAATTCTATCTTGCACCCTATGTCCCCAGCTATTCACCCAGTCTTACCCTTGAAATGGGAGGCTTATTGAGTCGGCGAACTCGAGCCACTTTCAACCATGAAAATCTAAGAATAATTCTGAATAAACAGGAGTTCATAGTTAGCTCAGTATTAAGGTCAAGTAACCTAGGTCATCGAGTGAAAAAATCAGTCTCATCGGTAAACGACATTTAAAGTGAGAGTGATTTTCTTCATGGTCTGATCTTATGCAATACTCATTGCATAGGACACCCCCACTCACATGTCTCCACATGTACAATTTGAGCTACGTCCCCACGATTCTTATGTTACAAAACCCTAAACGT